CCTAAGCTATAAAATTAAAATTTTTGCCATTAAGAGATCCAACATTAAAACTAGAACACTGATTAAGATCTTTGTCTTTATGCAATTAAGGTTTCACAGGTACATACACGGTAACATTTATCAAATAATACACTTTACATGTCACAAAGATTTCTGGTTACATGATGAAAGATTTATGTATATTAATTACAGAGCTTTCTATAAAGTCTCTCGAAGTTTCTAATTATAACACTCTTAAATATTAAAAAAGTCCAGTTGTGAAAACTGTCCAAGTGCCGTAAGTCACAGAATATCAGGGCAGAATGCAGAATTATATACAGATAGACTGCCAGTTACGTATGCTGAAAACTGGACTTATCTGGTCACAGCCAACTTTCACTGAATTTACTAAGAGCCTTCCATTTATAGCTAATTCATCTGTAGAAGAATCTCTGCAATGAGCTTTCCCGTAACAACATTCTAATACCTTACCTATAGCACTTCACTTTGGTGCAGTCTTTTTGAATGTGTCCAAATTCTCCACAAGAATAGCACTTCTGCTCATCTGCATGGTCGCAGTCACGAGCCAGATGGCCTGGTTTGCCACAGTTGTAGCAGCACTGCTCTCGCTCTCTCTTGGGCTCCTTGCAGTCCTTGGCAATGTGACCACCTCTACCGCAATTATAGCAGGCTTCAACAATAAGGAAAAGAAACAGACCAAGACTATAAAACCTTTACAAAGTGTTATGTTTTAAATTATACAATACAAAACCTCAAAGGTGGAAAAGCTATACGCAGCTGCACGTGCTCACCTCTCCAAGCTCTAGAGGGGTATGAAAAGGAAGTGTTAAATACTTACCATCCTCCTGAAGATCACAATCCTTGGCAAGATGACCAGACTCACCGCAGCGATAACAGATGTCTGGAAGAGATGAGGAAACAAACTGGAAACCTGTTTTGAGCAAAAACAAAAGGAATATGGCTAGTCAGACCAGTCTTGATACTAACAAATACTGAAGTACTTCAAATTTTTGTATTCGACAAAATACCTCTATCCGAGGTAAAACCACCTCTGCCACGGCTTCTCATTCCACGACCACGGCCTCCACCAGTAGGGCATTCCCGGGCCCAGTGGCCAGATCGTCCACATTTGAAGCATTCATTGCTGCTCATGGCTACAGTCGGATCTTTAAAATATTAAGAGTAACAACATTAAACCACTGAAATTTCTTTTAACTTTTATTCTCATTAACTGTATTTTTGGAAAATTATTCTGGGGAAAAAAAAAGCTAATATTTTGGTTAAAAAAAACCCACACAACTACATGCTTGGGCATTATAGATCTATTATAATACACACATTAATACAGTCTTTGAAAGAGTGATGGAATTTATAGGGTTAGCGTCAATTAAAATTCATTATTAGAAATAATTGGTAGTGAGTGGGCATGGTGGCTCACGCCTGTAATCCTAGTACTTTGGGAGGCCAAGGCAGGTGGTACATCTGAGGTTAGGAGTTTGAGACCAGCTTGGCCAACATGGCAAAACCCCATCTCTACTACAAAAAATAGCTAGGTGTGGTGGCACACACCTATAATCCCAGCTACTAGAGGGGCTGAGGCATGAGAATTGCTTCAACCTGGGAGGTGGAGGTTGCAGTGAGCTGAGATCATGTCACTGCACTCTAGCCTGGAGGATAGAGACTCCATATAAAAAAAAAAAAAAGAAAAGAAAAGAAAAAAAGAAAAGAAAAGAAGTAATTGGTAGTAATACTCATTCCAGGTCCAGCTTAATGGACACATTTGCAAATAGAAGTCTTTATTTACTCATCAGAAAATTGGAATAACCCAACTAAGGGCGCCGGGCGCGGTGGCTCACGCCTGTAATCCCAGCACCTTGGGAGGCCGAGGCGG